TCAATTTGACGTTTTCAATCTGATGCAACATTATAGTCAGTATGAAAGCCAATGCCAGACAGCCTCGTTATTTGAATACTATGAACTCAAATCACATTCTAACACAGAGCTTTTCTTATAACTTTTTAAAAACATGTTTCTCTTCCCCACGCCATTTTTTCTGAAGCAGTGTATTTTAGGCACAAAACAAAAACAGTTCCTTTATGAGTTCCTCCTACCCCTTCTGGGGCAACATTTGCAATGGAAGGAAAGAGGCATAAGGTGAGAAGTTATCATTTATATTCAGGCTTACACCAGAATCAGGAAATCAAATATTTGTGGTTAATCCAAAGGAGGTTCCATATAGTCAGCAATTACAAAGAGAAGCAAACCAAATGGTAGGGTGAGGAAAGCAAAAGAAGGCAGGAGAAGGGAAGGAAAGGAGGCTCATGAGGGATACATCACAGGCACCTAAAAAAGTAGAGAAGAGGAAGAACTTTCTGCAAAACCACAATAAACAGGCAAATTTTTCTCTTGTTAAAACCAGGAGAGATACAGTTCTAGCTGAAGTTTCACTTGTACTCTTTACTAGATTAACTTCTGTTTTCCCATTTCCTTTCCTCTAAAAGAGAAGTCACACACACATCCTTAGCATAAATGCAAATACCACACTACATTACTATAAATTCTTTGTAAGTAAATTTTCCTATCAGACTTATTGTCATAGGGATTCATTTTAAATGGGTTCATAGGCACAGAGATGTTATTTTTTGGCAAGAGACTGTAGTTAGCTTCATTACCTTCTGATGTTTGAACATCTATCCTTCACAGGGCATAACACAAGCTGAAATAACTCCTGTTACTACATAAACACTGAAATATATTATGAACTTGGCAAAATGAGTAATAACATCTATCGAAAATTTATATTTTAAACATGTATAGGACCTCTTTTAACTAAAACACTGATACAAGCAACTCAAAGGAGTTGCTGGCATACAATGGCTCAAATCAAAGAAGTATGAACACTTTATTGTATCTCCCCCACCAAAAAAAAAAAAATCAGTGGGTGCCATAGAGTTAAAATATTTTCACTGTGGTGTAGAAAAATTTTATTTTGAAGAAAGAGTGTGTTTACAATGTGCCGGGCATTGGACTAAGTGTTTTACTTATGTTAGCTCAACTCACTGAACTCTCATAAGAGCTCTATGAAAAGGATCCTACTACTGTCCCATTTTATAAATAAGAAAACTGAATCAAAGAGAAAATAAACATTTTGCCTCATGTAACCCAGCAACTAAGTAGCATAACTAATTTTTCCCCCCCTCTGGCTAGTAAGGGGATCGCAACCCTCCGCACGGTGTGGTCTGCACCACGCTTAGCCAGTGAGCGCACCGGCCATCCCTATATAGGACCCGAACCCAAGGCCTCGGCGCTCCCAGTGCCACACTCTCCCGAGTAAGCCACAGGGCCGGCTCCATAACTGAAATTTAAACTCCACCATTCTGATGCCAAAGGTCAATTCCAAACTATAATTAATGGCTGGATACAGGGCCATTAAAATGAATCCCATCCACCACAGATAAATAGGAGGACCTAGGATCCAGGCTACCAGGGGTATTTCCAGTCTGCAGAGCACCGGAGTATACTATTGGGATATCCTGCCTCCAATTGAGCTGGCTCTGAAGTAAGGCAGCTAGCTTAATATCATTATGTTTGATACTTTCTTATGAAGTTAGAGTTTAGGAATTTAAACTGTCATACTTAAAAATAATGTTTCTATGGATCTATAAAGATGAGGGAGTTCACAAAAACCCACACCCAGAAACAGATCCTTTAAAAATTTTGATCCTGATTCAGAAGTTCAATCTTTATATACTATATGTACCTTTAATTCTGAGATTATAAAAGGCAAATTAATTAATGAATATGAGCCCCTCCCATGCCACTCAGAGCTCAGAGGTGACCTTCACAGTTTCATTTCCTGTGGATATGCAAGTGTGTAGTTTACTTGAGCTCATGGCTGGTAGGGTCCTTAAAGGTCATCTTTGCTTGTGACAACAGCAAAAACTTGGAAGCAGAATGGTCAGCCTCAATATCTTGCCATTTCTTTTTGATAGCTGGAGACAAGGTGCGAATCAAACAGAAATCATTGTCTGTGACCAAAGACAGAGAAACCAGACCACTGAGAAAGCTGTATTGATATCCACTCTCATGCTAGCAGCAAGAAATAAATACTTGGTGTTAATCAAAAAAATAAAGATGTTTGCTGTATTTTAAGGAACACTAAAATTTGGGGAAGGATTTCGTTTTTAAAGAAAAACTTAATTGAAACGTATTGTCAAGATGAGATTTATGACCACCCCTCTCCTCAAAACTGGGAAGCCAGAAGGTTTCAAGGAGTCCTTCCTGCATTGTGTCTCACATGGAAGCCACACTTAGAGACTCACTGGGCTGTTTCAATGTAAAATAAAATGGAATATCTAAAATCAAATGCTCAAGAGTTCAAATAGGGCTGGCCAGTTAGCTCAGTTGGTTAGAGCATGGTATTGATAACACCAAGGTCCAGGGTTCAATCTCTGAACCAGCCAGCTGCAAAAAAAAAAGAAAAAAAAAATCAAATACAGCAAAAAGACTGGAATTTGTTAATACATACTTTATGGGAGAACAATTCACAAAATGCTATCTATAAGAGGAAAAAAGAATTAAGAATCAAGGTTTGGATAATTTCTCGTGAAAGTAATTGGTTTGGGCAGTCCAGATGAACTGAGTTTAAACGCAGGCTTAGAGAACAAATCTATGGTTATTGGATGGGGGAGGAGGAGGGGATGGGGGAGGGTGGGGGAGGGAGGGGAGAGATTGGATAAGGGTTATAAGGAATAAGTATGATTTGTAACAATCGATATGCTAATAAAAAATAAATTAATTAAAAAGTGGGGGAAAAATGCAGGCTTTTCCTCTTAGGTAAGTTACTTAATATCGCCAATAGTAAATTTCCCCATCTGTTTAATTGGCATAACAACTCTTTCTTCATAAGGTTGTTGTAAGATTTATATGTGATAATGTTTGTAAATTCCTTGCCACTCTTTCCTTTTCTCCCTCCCTTTCTTCCATTTTCATAATCTCCCTGAAACCAGAAACATCCTGTGCCAAAAAACCTTTGTCCATTGAAATAAATTTCCAAGAAAAGTTTGCAAAACTCTAATACAACACTATCACAATGACACTATAAAAGAGTCACTTGATCTTAGTAGCAACACATAAACTTCAGGTTACATAATATTTAAAAAATCAGGGCCGGCCCGGTGGCGTACTGGAGAGTGCGCCTTAGTAGCAACACATAAACTTCAGGTTACATAATATTTAAAAAATCAGGGCCGGCCCGGTGGCATACTGGAGAGTGCGCCTCTTGGGAGCACGGTGGCGCTCCCGCCAAGGGTTCGGATCCCATGTGGAGACCGGTTCCCGCTCACTGGCTGAGCACGGTGCGGGTGCAACACCAAGGGTTGCGATCCTGTTGCCGGTCAGTAAAAAAGACAAAAAAAAAGGAAAAAAAAATTAAAAATAAAAAGTAAAAATAAAAAATCATATTTTACTTGTGATGTGCTTGTTCTAACATTTTTAGAGGATAATTCATAGAAAACATTTCTGAGTTCTTTCTTTGTGTGGCATGACACCCCTCTCAATTCACTGAAGCCTAGTTCTTTCTTTAAGGCACTTGCAACTCAGAGAAGTCACCTGGTGGCATGTGGTCATTTGACTTTCAACTGTATCCACTGTGAGCTAATTGCAAGGGAGTAATGCTTGCACTTCCAAAACCATTACCAGAGGCTTTGGGTTTTTAGAGGACTCTTTTTATTATTATTCTGATAAGAACACTTAACTTGAGATCTACCTTCTTAAATTGTAAGTGCACAATACAGTGTTGTCAACTAGAGGCTCGTTGTATGGCAGATCTCTAGAACTTATTCATCTTGCATAACTAAAACTTTATAACCATTAAGCAGCAACTGCCCCCATTTTTCCTTCCCCATATCCCTTGACAACAACCATTCTACTCTCTGTTCCTATGAGTTTGACTATTTTAGATACATCGTTGAATGGAATTGTGCCAACTTTGTTCTTCTGTGCTGGCTTATCTCACTAGAGAATGTTTTAAGAGTAACTTCATCAAAAAGAAAACTACCTTGTAGAAATCCTTATAAGCAAGAATTTATCACTCAAAGATCTTATCTGGGCTAGAAAAAATGACAGCAAATTATGTTTTATTGGGCCATTTATATACTGTGCATGTGAATAGATATAGTGTACTTGGAATGGGGACATGTATATATCATCTGTATATGTACATTTTATAGTCATAATTCCACTTTCCTTTGTATTATGCCATCACGTTTGCTGTGCAGTTCAGTACGACATTATTTTTCATTTCAACCACTGCCACATCATTGCTGCTACCAGAATCTCTGTTTTTTGGAGAAAATATACAATTTAAAATTGTTTTTTTTTTCTTTTTTTTTATCAGAAAGGAAAGTCATCAAGAATTAGATTTTATTTTAGGAACAAAGTAAGGTTTCATGGGAGAAAAAAACAAAGCCTTGGTGTAGAGAAGGTTTGTTCATTTTCTATAGCATTACTGAAGTGTCCATATGCCTTGATATCAATGTTTGGATCATCTCAATGGGGGAAATGACTTAATTTAACTCTGTTTTGGTGTCTCAGCAAAGGTAAGTTGTCTATTTTGAGAGCCTTGAGTTTTCTCTAACGGGTAGTTTTTATACTACTGCATCTGTGAATGAAAACCCAAAGCTTACCCAGCTAATTTGCCACCTCAGTTTCCTCAAGTAGAAAATGTGGGTGGCCAGCGGGTGGAGGAGGAGGTGATGGGAACTGGCCAGTTGAGGCAGAGTTGCCTTAAGATCAGTATCTTGCATTCCTTAAAACCTAGGCAAGAGACCGATCAACGGCAGAATAGAGATAGGTCTGATTAGGCTAATGAACTATTATTTCATGTTCTCTAGTGTCTTTCTTTCAATGCCATCATGGAAGAGCTGGGAATCTCACTCAAGAATCAGAAAAAATTAAAGAAAAAGTCGAGAACTAAGGGGAAATCTTCCTTCACAAGTATCCTTACTTGCCATCAGAGACGAACTCAGAGAAAGGAGACTGTGGCATGATCCAAGAAAACACCTATAGAAACTTTTCAGGAAGAAAAAGGACATGTTTGCTACAGATGTTTCGAGAAAGAATTCTGATGAGTGTGTGATGTGTTTCCACATATCTATATCCATAACTCTGATTGTGTATACAGATATAAGAAACACAAATGTTTAAAAAGCTCACATAGATACTACTCGGGAATTGATACCAGTTCTTTTGAAATGAATTTTTATGCTCACTTATTTTGCATTTTCTCTTTCATCCCCAATAAATGACTGTGTGTGCTTTCTAAATAATAATAAAACAACAGAGTTTTTTGTTGTTGTTGTTGTTTTTTTTTTTTCCAGAACAAGTCTGAGTCTTGGTTTGTTCCCATTCATATAGTTTGGTTGCAAGTGTCATCAGCATGGTTGAGTTTATTATTCTGAAGAATCCTCTTACCTGTTTAGACAAAGTCACTTGGGGCTGAGTTTTCAAATATTACTTTTAGTTTATACCAAGTAGTTCTTATAGTGAAGTGAAATCATTCATCTTTGTGCTCTAAATCTAATGCTATAAATAGTTTAAATGTACTCAGAACGTTAGTGAGTGCAGGTGCTCCTCAACTTACAATGGGCTTCTGTCCCAGTAAACCCATTGTAAGTGAGAAATATGGTAAGTCAAAATGCATTGAATACACCTAACCCACAGAACATCAGAGCTTAGCCTAGCCTATTTTCAACGTGCTTAGAACACTTACATTAGCAAAAACCATCTAACACGAAGCATCAATACCTTGTTACAACCCATTCTATAACAAAGTATTGACCATCTCATGTAATTTATTGAATACTGTACTGAAAGTGAGAAGCATAATGGTTGC